AGCCTCCCCTCTCTTCACATTCCAGGGCTCTTTGCTTTGCTCTAGACAGGAGACCAGAACAGGCTTACACACCGCAAGACCTGTGTATGAAAAAGGGGCACATGATCCTTCCTGGACGCTTTAGAAAATACCAGAGTTGTAACACAGCACTATGCTCTACTGATAATATTCAGAAAAACAACAGAGTCTCCAAATAATTTGCCAATTTTTATTTTCTGACAGTCTCATAAGAATGCATAGGAATGTTTTCAGTTTTCATATTGTGAGTTCTATCACTGATTCACAGTTCAGATATGGCAATAGAATTTTAAGACTCTGGCTACAGGGGCTGGAGAGATGGCTCAGTGGTTAAGGGTACTGACTGCTTTTGCAGAGGACCCAGGTTTGATTCCTAGAACCCACATAGCAGCTACAAACCATCCTTGACTCCAGTTCCAGGAGCATCTGACACTGATGCATTCATATGCATGCAGGCAGTACACTCATATACATAAAATAAAAATATAATGTGTAGTTAAAAATAAGATTCTGACTACGGGGCTAAAGTGTCATGTGCCAACATGTGGCTGAAATTAAAACCAAAAATAATAAAAATGGATAATTCCTCTAACAAGTGGAAATGGAAAGAAATGATAAAACATAAACATGTTTTTCATGATGCCCAGACATTCCCATGAATGTGTTTTTAAAGAATCTAAGACTTAACTAGCCAAACTAACATATGCACTAAGTAGACTATAATCTGTCAAAGGATGCAGGATAGTAAAAAATTCTCCAAGAAAAATCACCTCACCTATAGACACCAGATTGCTGTAGTTCTCCAACATCAACTCCCTGTACAAAGCCCTCTGAGCAGAATCTAGGCATTCCCACTCCTCCTGGGAGAAGTCTATGGACACATCCTTGAATGTCAATGGATCCTAAAATGGAAAATGACAGTTAGAACATGTGCACTGAAACAGTGTACTGGACCCAAGAAAGAAAGAGATAATAGCAAATGACTTCTGAATTAAATGAGAAATCTGAATTAATAAATATTTCTTACTGGAGTAACTATCTATAATCTACTCAAAAACTCTGTGGAAAAAAACAATAGCATCAGACCCTCCAAATTTTTGTGAAGATTATGATGTTAAGGAGCGTAGCACATAAATTAAGCCATCAACATAGGAATTGCATTTCACTCCTATAGTAGTAGCATACAAGGCGAGTTTTATATATTTGTCTGGTGTAAAGTTACACTGATTATAAGTCTGCTTCATAAATTCAAGTGTTTATAACCATGCACTTTAGTCCTAGCTGAAACACAGATTTTTCACCTTAACATGATCTTTGGCTGGACCTGAATTAACCCTTCCCTTACAGACTCTGCAGTGAGGCCAATGCCCCACATACAAAAGACATGTTCTCCAACAGCACTGAGTAGAACATTATAGAAAATAAAGATCTGTATGTGATCTCCTCCATAGCAAGAAGACACAATCCTGGTAAAAAAAAAAAAAAATCCTACACCCTGCATGTAATATAGAAATTACAGAAACATGAGGGCATCATTTTTCTCAAAATACTTTTAAAACGAACTTTTCTGTCATCATTTATGTAAGTAAAATTTACCTAGAAGGAACACACTGATTGACTTATGTACAAAACAATAAGAGGATTTGAGAACAGGGCTCCTCACCGAAGAGCACGGAAAACATGAAGACAAGATCCAATGGCGGCTGAACAATGTTGACGCTGCATACACAAATGCTTTCAAAATCAGAGAACTACATATGTGTAACATTTGATAAAGAGAGCTCATTCTGAGGATGAAATAACCAGTAAAGGAGGTAGTGCTGTGATTGAGCCAACAGAGAGAAAGATATCTTCCTCAGAAGCTCCACTTGGAGAACTCAGCATTCAGCAAAGAAATGAGAAAGGTTTCTTTCTCCAAAGAAAGGAAGAAAATTAACGGTGATGAAAGGAGAGATTCTGCATTAAATGTCGTATTTCGTGTGCTTCATTCTGTAAACTACCAGAAGAAAACTTATTCCTAAAAAACTGAAAACAATGATGTCAAGCTCTGGTATTTGGTGCAGAGCAGTTTAACCAAGGGAATCAACTACCAGGAGACAAAAGAATACAGGTTTCAACAAACCAAGCAGCACATTCCATCAGCCCTGTCATATTGGTGGGATTAAACATTGAGCAAAGCAATACAATAATCCACATAAAATAAAACAAAAATATCAGTTTTATTTATAGTTCAAATAACAATACAGTGGCATATGGGGACTCTAGTCCATCCTTCTTAGATTCTGAAGATGGACATATTTGAATTTTCACCTATCATCTCAGTAACGCTTTTGAGATGGCTGGTCATGAATTCAATGGATTAGTCTGGAAAATATAAGCACTGGAGGACAAAATGGAGAGGTGGATGTGCTACATAGGTGATACATATTAAGTGTTCCCTGGGCATGGTGGTGTGTGCCTTTACCCCCAGGACTCCAAAGGAAGGGGCATGAGGGTCTCTGTGAGGCCCAGGTTAACCTGGTCTACAAAGCTAGTTTTTGGATGAGTAAAGATTACAAGTTCAGACTACCAAACATTTAGGGAAATTAAGTATATGCTGTCCAGACCTTGGATGTATTTACCTGAAAAGAAGCCATCTCTCTCCTCCTTCTGGGAGTGTCTTTCCAGGCAATATATAAACACTCTTCTCCCTCTTTCAAGAAACTTCCTTTCAGTTCACAGAAAATTCACTTCACCTGCCAATATAATAAGAGGAAGAAACGCCTCATAAAACAAAATAGGCCGTTGTACTGTCTGCTGTCAGAGTAGAAGCTCAGGAAGAAAGCTCAGCATGGAGACCCCATAGAAGTTTCTGCTTTTCTGCCTTCGAGTGGCCCGCCCTGCCAACAAGATCAAGAATTTCTAATACAACATGGGACTGTAGCTGCCTCACCTCCTTACTAAAGAAGGCAGAGTAAGATGGTTTTCATCCATTGTAACAGACGCTAAACTAAGCTCTCTTTCAGAAGCACTGGTAGCTGACCTCAAGCCTCACTCTCTTCTGCCTGCAACTGTTCATTGAAACAGATCTGATGCTTCCACTTTGCTTCATGGACAGAATCTGGGGGGTGACGGGGAAGCATAAGTAAGAGTTTTTCTTTTAAAGGCTGAAGTTCAGTTGTAGTTCATGGTGAGTTTTAAAAGTCTACTTTTGGGGCTTGAGAGATGGCTCAGAGGTCAAGAATACTGGTTGCACTTGCATAGGACCTTGGTTTAATTTGCAGCACTCACATGGTGCTAACAACTGCACTGAACACCTGTTCCAGGGGTTCTCACACTGTCTTCCCGGCTCCATAGACATTGCTCACATGGCTGCACTTACATACACACAAGCACAACACCCTTACACATGAAAATAAAATAAATAAATAATAACTTTTGAAAAATAAAGCAAGTTTTGTTTGATGACATCACATTTTACTTATTTGTGACATTACCTTGATATTTTGTTTTACATATACACTGGATATTGATCCTAGTCACTCATTAGTATATCCACATGTAAAATTTTGTCCTTTCCTATTGTGAGTGTATCCAAACTGATATTTTCTAACAATTTTAATATACAAAATGCAACTTGGATTATTTTATTTACCTTGATGTGGCATAGAACAGAACAACTTAGATAAGCAATGAAGCCATGACACTGTTTCTGTTATTTACCACACATCCTCCCCACTCACTGCAAACTACTATTGTCCCCTCACTATCTATCATCTCTCTTTTCTTTCTCTACTTCTCTTAGACAAATCGTGTAATGCTTGTGTTTCAGTTTCTTTACCTGAAACAGGGTCTACCAGATCAATCCAGTTCTCAAGTATGAGAAGATTCTAA